AAAAAAAAAAAAAAAAAAAAAACGAAGACGATTCAGGCACGACCGTGGAGGAACAGCAAATGAAGAATTGCAGTATTTCGCAGATTTTAATCTTTTTAACTGTTTTAATTGTTTTAATACGCTTTGAACACACCGCACCGGTTTACATTGGGTCGGGTGATGTTTGAATAAATTTGTGGATAATGTCTATTAAACGTTCAGGGTGAAAAGGTGATGGTTGACATGAACACGGTTTCGGAGATAACTGCTAGGGCAAACTGTCTGGGGTTATGTACTTTTTGTTTCACTTTGGCGTGTTATATAAACCTAGACGTTTTGGACACTTCTGCTACAAACATGCAATATTGAACACCAAGTGTACAACAATGACGATGCGCACAACAAGGAAACCATACCAGGCCCGTATCCAGCAATTTCAAAAGAGGGGTCCTTTTCCTGAAAAAGTGGACCTTTTACCATAAAATCTTCATGTACCTAGATAAGCTTTTACCCAGATGGGACCTTTTCCCGGCAAATGGAGGGTTCTTTCGAAACTCCCGAAACCCCCTGGTTACGGGCCTGCAAACTCCCTCTCACACCGGCCGGTCCGACGTAAGGCTCCCTTGATAAACGCTGCTCGAAATTAATGCGGCGGTAAATTTAATATACCGTATACGTAGAAGAAAACGCACCCCAAAGCAGTTTGACCCAGATGGTAAACGGTGTACTGTGACGGAAGGCGAGTTTAGTATCTGAATATTAATATTATTTTAATTGTTTCGATACGCTTTGAGCACATCACTCCGGTTCAAATTGGGTCGGGTGATGTCTGAGTTAATTTTGGAATAATGTCTATTATACGTTCAGGGTGAAGAGGTTGACACTAACGCAGTTACGCAGATTCAGTGTAAACTCTCTGCGACTCACGCACTAATTGTTTGACATGTGATATAAACCTAGACTCTTTTGACACCGCCGCCATAAAAATGCATGTATTCAAACTTTTAACGAAACAAATAATGATATTGTGCAAGTAGAACCCACAAGTACAAACATGTTATGCTAAAATAAAGAACTACATCCAATGAAAAATTCTAAGGAATTAGGACCTGCAAAAAATTATGTGGAAAAAAAATTAGTTTAAGTAAGATTACTAAAGTGCGTTGTCCCAACCAAAAGTATAGTGGTGTACATGAAAAAAATTTTACATTTTACAAATTATGTCAAATAAAGACACCATGGTAGAGGTCGAGAAGCAAACTACTTCCTTACATGCCATATCAACTATACAAATGTCTTCGACTTCATGACTGTTTGTACCTTAGAAAGTGCACGGTACACATGTATTTCAAATTGAAAAGATGTGGAAGCTTATTTTCATGTGTTTAGCCAAGAGAAAAAAGGGAATGCACCAGGCTACAGCGTAATTGTGTTGATATTTAAAATATTAATATCTGGCTGAAAGGGTAGTTATTTGTTATATCTTTTTTTCACGATTTTTCACCACCATGGCAGCAATGCACGAAAGTAAAAGGAGCTATCTACGAGGGAGGTTTTGGATCTGGAGCACCGTCGGTCTCTCATTACTCAGCCTCACTCTTCTGATTGCACTGATTGCAGTAGGTGAGAAATGGCGGGAACTGGAGGAAAACCAGCAGCAACTAATTCACAGGTCCCGTAGGTCCTCGGCGGAAACCGAAGTTGGTAAAAGGACGAAACGCACCACCCACTGGAATGTGCCGCATTGGCGGTCTTATTGGAATTACAGAAACTATTGGAATATTCTTCCGAAATATGAACTTTCAACCCCCTCCATTTTCGATTCTCTGACCAATGAGGAGATGTTAAAAATCCAGCGGTTCATGCAACAGCAACCAGAGCTGAATCTAAAACCGGTGTCTGAAGCCTCCATGTCTGATAATTATATCTTCCTCATGGAAGCCGTACTCCCGCCAAAATCCGAAGTATTGGATCACCTCGATAGAGGGCAGCCTATGCCAGCGCGCCGTGCGCGTGTCACGTGCTTCATGGGAGCAAAGAATCCTCCGGTCGTTGAAGAGTTCTTAGTTTCTCCGTTACCGAGAGTGGCGCGATATGAACGGGTTGGCAGTAAAATATCGTTCCACGCTAGACCAATTGACGGTTTTGAATCCAATGGAATGGATGAATACATCTTCAAACCTATCACAGAAAAGATGTTTCCAATTTTAAAGAAATACTACGGCTACTGGTACCACAACTGCACCAATCGGTGTATTTATTTTGACACGAGCGCACGAGGTCTTAGAGCAGGAGATCGTCAGGTCCACGCGTCGGCTTACCGATACGGAATTGACGGCTACTACATTTGGCCACTTCCTTTGCAGATTGTCGTGAATACAAACGGCAATAACCCTGCAGCTTACAGCGTAACCAGATTGTACTTTGAACATCAATCGTACAGCAACGTCGACGAAATACTGGATGCGTACAACAGTGGTCAACTGAAGGTAACCAAACTCCCACCTCCACCAACTGGACCGACGTACGGCTCTCCTGAGAAACGACGCTTGCATTACGACGGCAATTATCGTAGAAGAAAACGCATCCCGAAACAGTTTGAACCAGACGGTAAACGGTACACTGTTGACGGACACCGTGTTAAATATCTGGATTGGGAGTTCAACGTTCGCTTTCGTGCCTTGACGGGAATACAGATAATGGACGTGAGATTCCGAGGTGAGAGAATCGCCTATGAAATTGGTATTGGGGAAATAGCTGTCTATTATTCAGGAAGGGAACCCACAGGAATTTTAGCAAATTTCCTAGACTCGGGATTCGTGCTCGGTCGACTGCATTTCCCACTTCTAAAAGGGTATGACTGTCCCAACAACGCCATGTACTTCGACAACACCTTTTACAACCCATCAGGCGGCCGTCCCCACACCCATAGGTCCGCTGTCTGTCTGTTTGAACACAACACTGGTATACCAGTCCGTCGACACTATTTGAGAGACTATACCGGCCCAGATATTTCGAGTTTCAATTACCAATTTAGCCTACCGGGCACCGTACTCATTCTTCGAGGGATTATTACACTTTTCAATTATGATTATGTACTCGATTACGTGTTTCATCCTAATGGCGTCATTGAGACCAAGGTTTCTTCAACAGGGTACGTATTCAGCATCACCAATCCTAAAGGGGAAAGTTCACCATACGGGTACAACATAAACACCGAGAACGGTATACTGGCACCACTTCACCATCACATGTTCAACTTCAAGGTCGATCTTGATATAGGCGGTATACGAAATCGGTTCGAGACTTGGGATCTGAAACTGGAGAACCTCCCCAACCCTCTAGCCCCAGGCGACAGTTGGATACAGAAGAGACTTGAACGAAATCTACGCAGAAACGAGCAAGATGCCCTGATCAAGTATAACTTTGACGAACCGAAATATTACGTGATGTACAACGCTGGGGCTAATAACTCATTGGGTTATCCACGTGGATACCGGATTTATTCCAACGGATTCTCTAAGAAAATACTACCGGATGGATGGTCGTTTGAAAACGGAATCTCTTGGGCTCGGCAACAGGTGGCAGTATTGAAGCAGAAGGTAACAGTGACCTTTCATGGGTGTCAACGTTTTTGTCCTCATTTATACTATTCTAATGCATGTACCGGGGTTGCATTACTTCAGGAATACGGCAATGTAACCGACAGTTTATTATACCATAGTCTTGTTTATTGAGATTTAGTTTAGCACAGAAAAGGGTTTATTGTATATTGATTCAGTTTTTTTAAGACAAGAAAATTATCTTATTGTACTGTAAAATTGTTTATTTATTATAGGACAGCGAAGACACAACAGCCAGTCTATTCAACCAAGCCGATCCCTACAATCCCACCAGAAACTTTGCTGATTTTCACGGAGACAACGAGAGCATAGTCGACCAGGACTTGGTAGCTTGGGTTACCGTAGGTATACACCACATCCCTGTGGCTGAAGACATCCCCGTGACGACAACCCCAGGAAAGGAGCTCTCAATCTTTTTAACCCCACTGAATTATTATGACGAAGACCCTTCGATGACGTCATGTGACGCAACTGTTGTGCGACCTTGAGAGGCAAGACCTGACGTTGCTCCACTCTTGCAATTCAGATTGGAATAGTCGTTTTCAATTGAATAAATTGACAAAACATTAAGGTTTTGGGTATTTCCTATGTACGTTTACATGGTCATTTTTATAGATTACGCATTAACCTACCGTCGATTATAAGAGTTGATGTTGATTTGAGCTTAAGCAGCCCATGTTTAACTTAAACCTGTAACAATCGTCGCTCAAGTTATGTACTGATAGATTACTTTTGCATTGAAATAGTGGTAGGGATTTTGCGTAAGTGTGAAATCAAACGCGGGTCGTGTATTTAGCAGTCAATTCCCGAAATAATATCTCTCTCTCTCTCTCTCTCTCTCTCTCTCTCTCGCTCGCTCGCTCGCTTTGGTAGTTCAAATAGCGTCAAGCATTCTGAACTGATAAGCTTGATTCGTCTTGTATCTGATGTAGGCTTCATGGCGCTTAATCCCTTAACTGTGTACTAGTAATACCACCTTCACGACTGCACTTCTCCCACTTGGTGCATCAATGGCCTCGTTTACACAGCCGTACCTATACCATAATATTTTAAAGAAACATATCCCTTTGATCGACGAAGGGAACATCGTTTTACTGAGACGCGAGGGGCTCGAGGCCACGTTGTTACATGTAGAAATTATCAAAAACAGTCTATTCACGCAGTCGTCGTCAGAAAGCGTTTGTTGCAACGCAGAACCTGTCAGATCGGCCGCTGTGTGAATGGAACCAAACCGGTGACAACGCAGACACGTATATAAGGATGCGCAGTACCCGCTACCCGGCCCATATACAGTAAGTCGAGCTAGAGTACTGCTACCCGCCGTGATGAAGGTCCTTATCGTCGCTGTCACCCTGTTTGCTGTGTCACAGGTAAGTGGATGTTTCCCCTCTTTTTTTTAACGTTTTAAATTGTGTCTTGTTTTCCAGACGAGTATTTGATTTTAATGTAATTTCCATAAATCATGTAGTTTCAACGTGCCAACCTTCGATGAAGATTTACGTCTTGTAATAAAGTAATGGCACCATTCTCTTCTTTTTTGATAAATCAAACCGATCGGATTGTCGTCTTAACCCTGATTACTTTTTTTGCCGCGTTTTAAAATTTTTGTACAACAAATGTTAGACACACACCAACGCTTGTCTACCAGTTTACTTAATTGTGGATTGAATTGTCACTAGTACATGTACATGGTACAAACCTTTATATCCAATGCGTCTTCCTATAACAACATAAACCAAATCATAATATAAAGAATAATGGTGTGGACTTATATCTACTTCAGGCACAATTTGGAATCGAGTGGAACAAGCTTCCAGACCTGTTTAACTTTGGCACCAAGGCCCCAGGAACAGTATGTAAGACCTCTGAGGAATGTGGCGACGGCGAGTGCTGCGTGGAGGACATCTTTGGACAGGCTGCCCTCTTAGGTGACGTAGACACATTTTATCGTCTGGTTTGCCACTGCTCTGTGTACAAAGTCTGTTTGCTGAAATTCGTAGGGCACGTCAGTGGTTTTGTTGGTGCCGTTAAGTGTTACTAAATAGTTGTTGTTTTAAAGGGTACATTTGTGTATCAGATGCCTTGAGAAATGCCATTGTCATCTTTATCAATTTTTTCCTTTCTTCCTGGTCTCGCCTATACCATTGTAACAGTTTTATATTTATTCATACTCATGAGAATCATGGGTACAGTATGTTTCACGTTTTCCCTGGTTTGCATCATCTTATCTCCTAACGTCAGTGTTACTGCGTTGTTCTGCTTGAAGAAATGTTAAATGTAAGGCGGGAAATCCTTTGAGTTATTGAAACAATTTAAATGGCATTCTCATAAACGTGATCGGATTGTTAAGATAACTAAATGTCGTTTTAACAATAAAACCCAGTTTATTAATTTGCATATTTGAAAATGAATATAATATAGCAAAAATGAGTCATTTATCTTCAGGAAAGCGTCAGCTGATCTGGCCATTTACCAAGCAGCAGGGTGTGTGCAAGCCATACAGGAAAGAGGGAAGGTATGTACAACCTGGTCACTTGTGCATGGACACTGACATTCTGCACACGCGCGCATGATGAATAACGCGAACTCAAACAAACACCAAGAAACACACGTGAACGAGGAATTATTCACCAAATAAACACACACACACACACACACATGCTGACAGGTTGAGCGAACGGCCAGAGAGGATTTGGCACACATAAACATGTGCATTTTGTACATACATGTGCATGTACACACCGCTCTCTGTGCGTTGACGCACCTGTAGGCGGACGGACGTAGAAGATTTTTAAAGGGTCATAAACTGGAATCAATCGTGTGAAGGCGAATTCGATAACCAGCTGTCAGTGTCTTACTGTCACGACAGATGGCAACGTCTACATTTGATATGATAACACTAAACATGATGTACACTTGGAGATAATTTGACATGCCTATATCTCTCTTTTTATTGCATTTGCGACTTAGGCTTATGTTATTTATTTTGGAACCAAGATATACACGTTGGTAAGCGTTTACATATGGGGTATTGCACGTGATTTTTGAGGATCGAAATGTCTAAAGATTCTAACATAATATAAGGCACAGCGATAAAATCTTTATGCCAAATGTACAAAATGGCTTCTCCATAGTTGCACATACTTACAGTATGTACATATGTGGTTTTCTTCCAGCGCCTGCCACCCACTGCACGAGACCCACCTTCAAAGTAGTATGTACAAAGGAATGTACCAATTTTCCTGCCCGTGCGACCCAACCCTGGTTTGCAAGGGAGAAAAAGTCCAACAGACCTTCGGGTTCGTGATCCACACCAACCCCACCTGCCAGGTTGATACCGAGACCGGAAGTGGAAAGCCCGACACCGACAAACCAGAGGAAGACTTTTAAACAAACCTTGAGCCGGAAAAGACGTTCTTCGTGTGATCACAAATGACATACGTGTAGGCTGCCTGATTTTGTACTTTTTTGGTCAGAAATAAAAATGTTCGACTGTTTGGTTCGTCCAAGGCCTTGATCACGGATACTGAGTATGGTGCTATTAAGATGCGAACGTGTAGAAAATATCATCCGGGCCTCCGCCAAAATGTTGCTTATATCCAGGAGTTAAAGCTCATTTTTGCTACATGTATGAATAATTCAATCGATGATATTTATTTAATCAACACTTTGTGTGTTTTGTGCTTGAGTTTTGAAAACGCTTTGTTCTCCTAAATAGAGTAGGCCCTAGTGATTTACTGTTTACATTTATAACGCTATTCTCAATAGGCCTACCTGAATACGATTGCCAACGATGTTTTGTAATCTGGCATCGAATATATCATTGAAGTTTGTTGGAAAAATTCCATTTCCGATCAATAATNAGAGAGAGAGAGAGAGAGTCTCCAATCATAATTTTGCTATTATAACAAAAATAAACCAAAGGAAAGTAAGCACTAAGAAATCTTAACTGTAAGTAAAATGCTGATGGAAAAATAGATGGATTCTATAAATTACATTGTAGCAAATCAAATTTTACTTGCATCCTGCCTAATATTAATATGTACATATTAATATTTCTTCATTTTAGTTATGTCACTAACATTCTTCTTGAAAAATTTGGGCCCTGCCCTCCAATTTGAGACACCAAGAACTTTAGCACCATTTTGAATATGGCATCTTGGGATCCACAATGTTGTGTAACCAGAGTTTCAATTATTGAAAAAAAAATATATATATTTGGAATCATTCAGAAAACTGATATTTTCTGAACTTCTGCATAATGTCAACATTTTCTAAGATGGTGCAATTATGAAAAAAAAAATGTTGACCTCATTTTACATATTTTTTTCTTTAATTTTTGTGCAAGGAAGCCATTGATTTGAGAGAATAGTAACTTACAATGTTACAAACTATCTGCATTGTAAACACGCAATTCATTGTGGCAAGAAAATCTTGTAATAACAGTAGTACATGCAAGTGGCAAATATTTTTCACCACAGCTGACATACAGGACTGGCCCATCTAACCTGCATTTAGGGACCATTCCAATAGCCTATTGTATTAACTCTGGATCGATCTATCTCCAAGGGGATTCTCACTAAAGGCTGCATTTAGGGACCATTCCCAGAGCCTATCCTATTAACTTTGGATTAATCTATTTCCAAGGGGATTCTCACTAAAGGCTGCATTTAGGGACCATTCCCAGAGCCTTTTGTATTAACTTTGGATCGATCTATCTCCAAGGGGATACTCACTAAATTGTTATCAAGTAAAGCTTCTTACACCCCATTTCCATAGATTTTAGATCGATCTATCCCTGCGGGGAGTCTCACTAGATTACTGTCAGCTTAGCCGGCTTAAAGGGATAATAACTCTTCGTTTTGGCCAAAAAATGAATTTTGCTGGAGTAAACAACAATTTTCCCGTTCTTACCAATGGTTAATGAATCTATTTTTACATTTAAAGTTAGTCCCTGGTTTTTTTCTAAAAAGTTTGTTTTTTTGTTAAAATCTCTTAAGAGATTTTAACAGAGTATAGCCATCAATGGAAGTCACGTGATCTGAAGACAAGCTCAGATATCAGAATAATAGCTATAACTGCTGTTTTTGTGCTAAAACAGAATATATTATATTTCTATGAGTTGTTCACAATGTTTTTATTGTGAAATAAAGATATCATAGGAAGAGTTATTATCCCTTTAAGCGTCTGTCCCGCCTACTAAAAGTTGTAAAGGGGTAATTAACTATGGTGCGCCCTCGGCTGACTGCAATTTAGCGTGAACCCCCAAGGAGTTAGGTCGATCTAAATCTTAATCCCTGGATCGATCTAAATCTCTTGGAATGCACCCTTAGACATCTCATATGACCACTGACGCTATCGTTCAGTGGCTTCAATAGGCGTGCCAGACATCTAAGCCACTGAAGCTAACAGCAATTTGGCGAGAAACCCCTTGGCGATGGATCCATCCTGTTAGATCGATCTAGGCATGGGAACCCAGTCTTAGACACAAATGGAACAGGGACTGTCCCCAACTTCCATGTGTAAAGACACAAATTTTGACAGACAACATCCCAATCATATTGTCATCCTTCACAAACTCTCCATAGGCTCTCTTCAATGAAGCTGCACCTTCGGCTACTCCTCAATGGGGAATGAAAGCAAAATGCTGATATCTGATATCTGAAGAGATTCAGATCCAAATGTAATTCCTGCATAACAAGAGCCAAGCACCTGTTGATGACCCGATGGTGGTGAACTTGTGATAAATTATATAATAACATTATAATTCTTGGTTATTCACGGTGGTCTGTCAGTGCTCATGATATATGGATGAGAAAATGCTTTCTTCGTGGTCAGTATACTTTATTCAGCTGTTCATAAGCCATAAAGAACTGAAAAAATGGGTTAAGAAAAATATTTCTCAGTATTTTTTTATTGATTTCAAAATAAAATCTTATATGTCTTAATTAGACTGATTAGAATCAAAGACACATGAATAATTTAATTAAATTGTTCAACAAAACCAAAAAACTCTAGTTGACTCTACTTGACTCAACTCTAGTAGACAGCAAAAGCAGTCAAATGTACAGACATGTGTCTGCATCTAAAGTTCCTTTGTAGAAAATAATCACAGCATGAAAGAAATGAAAATTGATACTGAAGTGTATTTCTTGGCTTAATTTTATCCATTCAAGGGGAACAAACCAAAATAAATAAATGACGAAAAAAAAAAATCAAATTAGGTAAAAATATATAAAAGATTAAATAAAAAGGATACAATTACGTTCCAAGGACCTAACCTAACCCACGTAGGTATAAATCCTTTGTACAGTGCAAAAAAACCTTCTGTCCTGACGGTCTGAAAAATAAATAGTACAGCCAATGAAAAAAATAACAATAAAATAAAATGATAGGAAACCAAGAGTGAACATCTGCCAAGGAAAAAGGCAATAAAATTCTTTAGAAAATATTAAGAGTGGAAGGTTTAATTTGTGAGTGCCTCTTTCTTTTTTATTTCTTGAATTACTGTCGATCTTGAAAATCATTAAAAATTTTGAGGAACTTTATGAGATATCTTGTACACCCACACAGACAATGACCATAGATGAAAACATAGCCCCACACTTTGACAAATGTAATTATAACTAAATTAAAGGTGTAATTTGAAAATCTCGTGTCTTTAAGTCTTTAAGCTTGAAACAACAGCTTCCAATTATTTAAATCACACTAGTTTCATTTCAGTGAAGGCAGTGATGTATTTTAATTAAGGCTAAAGTAAAGAATACAACAAATTTGAGAAAAATCTTAATGCTTCTTAACTGACACATTATGTTAAGGGGCATTTGCGTGTGTGCATGTTGTATGTGTAAGTGTGTATATATGCGTGTGTATGTGCATGTTTTGTACGTGTGCACGTGGGTGGCTCAAGCTTAAGTGCACCAAGTATTGTTCAGCTGTATTTCCCTTTAGGTGTGTGTGTGTGTGTGTGTGTGTGTGTGTGTGTTAGTGGCACCTATCTTACCTGCACCAAACACTGCACTGAACTACTGTAAATTGCTTTGGCTTGTTTTCCCTTTAGTTTTCTTTGGTTCATCATCCGAGTCTGAAACGGTTAATTTAAAACATAACATGAATCAACTAGAGGATCAGAGAGGCGATACCGCCTCCGAATATTGTACCACCAGCTGGAGCAAGCGCATTCGTATAGACCCCCACATACACAAAATAAGGGACACAGCCACCAGTTTTGTGCTTGACAAGCTGTAAAAATGCAATCAACAAGAATTTTTAAACTATTGCAAAAAATATATATGGTACAATCAAATTTAAGTTCTTCGTAAGGTAGGTCAAGGGTCAATTTCAAGGTCACAGTAAATTGCCAGTATATGACTTCCTATTCAAGTTCAAGAGTAACTATGGACCTATCTCTGTCAAGTTTGAAGTTAAAAGAGAAAGAAATTAGCAGAGTTCAGTTCATGATAAAAAGTAGGTCAAAGGTCAATTTCAAGGTCACA